ACCCACTCTATCTCCTCACTGCTTCCATATTCACATTGCAAGTTGGTCAATGAGAAAGTGTGGTCTAGGATACCGGATTACTGACTCCTAGTCCTGTCATCTTTCTGCTATACTAGCCTGTCCCTATATAGCCTGCTAAAAGGCAAATATGACTTTGGAAGGAAGGTAACCTAATAATGAGCACTAATTCATGGCCTCTTTGAGACCTGGGTCCTTGGGGAATTTGGATGGGGGATATATGGGTGGCAGGGAGGGCAAGGTAGATGGAGAACTGCTTTGGGGAGCCAGAAGCCAGGAGTTCGGGGACCTAGAGGAAGGTGGAAAATGGAGAAGAATCTGAACAGGAAGTAAAGGAAGTAAAGAAATGGAAGTTTAGGGGTAGCTAGGTGGCACAGTGGATAGAGCACTGGCCCTGGATTCAGGAGGACCTGAGTTCAAATCTGGCCTCAGATACATAACACTTACTAGCTGTGTGACCCTGGACAAGTCACTTAACCCCAATTGCCTCACCAAAAAAAAAATGTAAGTTTGGAAGCAGATGGAGACTCACTGGCCTTCCTATTTCACACATTCACAATTTTCTTCAAGCCCACTCAAAAGCAGAGGAGGAAAGTGATGGGAACCAGCTCCTGCTGGGTATACTTCAGGTGCAGGGAGGAGCCAGGCCACTGACAGATGTCACTGTCTTTCCTGGCAGCAGTAAAACATTTCCAGGCAGAGACAACACTATGCGAACCAGGTGAAGTGGGAGGCCCTACCCTGCCCTTTTCTGTACCTCTCGGCTTTTCGAGCATTACTCCTTCCCCAGGCAAGAGGTGCCACTCTGATGCCCAAGGAGGCTTCTAGCCGGACAATGTCCTCTTCTCCTTCGCCATCTTCCCACCAATATGCTCATCCCTTTGGTGCTTTGTCATCAGATTACTGTCCCTGAGGAAAGTTCTTAGGAAACACACACTAAGTTATCAATGACTAATAAGGATTAACATTTTAGAAGAAGTAACCCAAACCCAGAAATTCTAACAGGTGACCTTAGCGCTCTGGGGCAGGAGGCTGGTGAGATAGCACAGAGACCTTTTGGGGTCCTCAATCACAGCAGGTGAAGGCTGCTCCTAATGTTTCCAAACTAGGCACCATTTCTTGATTCTAATAGCTCACAGCTCAAACTGAAACTAGCTCAAATTAGCAGTACCTGGCTAGTTCTCTTCTTCAAAAAGAAAGGATTGGAAAACTGCCCCAATGTTTCTGTAAGTAACTAGCCAGACACAATAGTGGCGTCTCACTAATGCACATATCCGACATAGAAATGAGTCCAAGTTAGACCTGGTTCTAACATCAGCTCTGCTGCTAATCAATTAGCAGTGTGTCTTCAGGAAGGTTTCTCCACCTCTCTGGCCTCAGTTTCTTCATCTGTCAAATAATGGGATTGGACTTAAATATCCTTAACACTCCTATCTGTATATTTCTAACTTTCTACAAAACAGGCAATAGTATCCCTTCCTTTGACATAGCTTTCCTATGGAGGGGCTGAGACTTCTGAATTACCCAATTCTTGCTGCACCATTTAAAAATAATGCAGATGGCTTGTGCCTCCAAAAACAACCCTCTTCACTCTTAGAAGAACTCAGGAAAGCCCGATACCTCCTGGAAAGACGGGAAGAATAAGAGCAAACCATTGGTGCTTCCCAGCTGGCAGCTGTCTGACAAATCCAGCCACGTAAAATCCTCCTTCCAGTGACTCGGGTCAGTCACTCCACAAATACTTAATTCATCTGTAATGTGTTCAAGGTGTTGAATCAGGGACAGAGCTGAGTTTTCTCCTCACTCTCTTCAGAAAGCCACAGGTAAGAGAGAACACGTGACTTCCATGGTTAAGAAGCAGGGTGGTATACAGTCAGCCATGGAATAATCAAAGCACACACTGAAGCACAAACATAGGCTTTGTGAATCCTATCATATATGTAAGAAACGTGCCAACAAGCAGCCTCCAAGGATGCCCTGCCGATAACCCACTTCTTTCATTTATGTTTTCCTTTTTCAGGTCTTTGTGCATCTGGCGTCTCTCCCACCCCTAAGTCCACTCCCAGTCCCCACTAAGGTATTCGAATGCCAGGCTCTGTGTATGTGAGGTGCTATGAGGATTTCATGCCATTTTAATGGGCATGGCTACGTCTGGACTGGTTCCTCAGAAGCACCCTCCTCTGTTTTCCCACCTCCTCCCATTCTCTTCAAGATCCTAGTTATCAACACATAGTCCCATAATCCATTCCCAACACACACTTGCCTGTCCAGACAAGTGTCAAGAAGCACCTCCCAAATCTCTGGGAGGAAGGCAGGGGACAGGGTCTGCTTTAGGCAAGAGTTTTGAAATATGGGACAGGCTCTGTTACCTCCTTTGCGCTCTCGCGCTCTCTCTCTCTCTCTCTCTCTCTCTCTCTCTCTCTCTCTCTCTCTCTCTCTCTCTCTCTCTCTCCCTCCCTCCCTTCCTCCCTCTCCTGCTTCTCTTTCTGATAAACCCTTCCCCTGACCCCCAAAGCCCCAGGAGCTTCAGTCTTGTCATATGACCCCCACAGCTACTCAACACAACCCCTCTACACACACTTCAAAAATCAAACAGGCTTAATGGGACTTTTTGTTTTCCAAACCATATTCCCCAAGCATCATCAAAAAAAAATTGAGGCCTAATGAAGTGCTGAAAGAGTAGAACACGGGACCCAAAGAAAGAAACTTTTGCACAATGACAAGGTACAATCTTGATTTTGGAGGCCTTGCCTACAGTCTTAAGAGGGCCACTTTTACAAATCTGATTTCTGCTCCCAGCCAGGGAAATCTGTGACCAAGAAGGGCTGCTGTCCTTAGAGGTTTTTGAGCAGAGGAAAACTAACCACTCGATGGACATTTCACTGCATGCATTCACTTGATGAATGGGTTGTGCTAAATGGTCATTCCCTCCCAACTCTCAAATTCTGTGATTCTGTGAAACCCTGAAAGCACCAGCATCCGGTTCATTTTGCTTCTCAGAAATGGCCCTCATCTCCTGCAAGTGCTCTAGCTAATGAGTATTAACTATGGAAAGTGATTTATTTATACAACAAAATACAGACTAGTTAATAAACAGGTATTATGCTTCCCACAAGGACCTATGTGGTCCTTCCCACTAATTGTCTGCAGGGCCAGGGGTCTCTGCTGGAGTCATCTTTCTTACCCTTTGCCCTCTGTTTCTCTGCTACTATTTCAACACCCCCTCTCCTGGTGCTGGATGCTTCCCTCCAGGGACTGTATGGAGGTCACTCTCCCCAGCTAACACAACCTCCTCTCCTCGTGGGTGATGATGAAGCCCACGCTTCTCTCCAGGGCCCCAGCAGCCTGCTGTCTACATCACTGTCTGGCTCAGATTCTTCCGTCTTGGGGCCTTCACAGACTCCTCTGACTCTCCAGGGGCCCCAGCCCTAACTGCCTGGCCACTGCCAGCAGGACCGAGTTCAGTCTGTGTTTTCCCTCTGTCTATGTCCACTCCCCAAACCTAGGCTCATGTGGTTCCTGTTATAACCAAAGAAGCTTCCTTCTCACAGACGAATACCAAGGGGTCAGGGATTTACCCATCTCCTCCTGGGGCCAGGCTGCTACACAAATAATGGAGGATCAGTTCTTAACGTTGAGAATATACTCAGTCATTTCCTATTTATCTTAATGACAGTGAAGCAAGAGAGAGAATAAAAAATAGGTGCTGACAGGAGACTCCAGAAGGAGAGAGGTTTGAAAAGGAGAAGCCATGTTCTATAAGTTAAGCGGAGGTGGTCAGGGGAGAGAGAGGAAGCTCCAAGTGGGATTTCCTCAATGCCCAGGGGCCACACCACCTTGACACCCATCTGGGATGATACAGCAACCTGGGAAGGGTGATGAGGTGGCACCTTCAGTGCCCAACACCCTCGAAGCCAGGGAATGTCTCTCAACCTGTGAGTAAGAGACGTGAAAATTATCACTATGAATTGCATCATGGCACTCCAATACATTAAAGCACCATAATGTCCTCTATGTGGACACTCCCTTCACTGATGCAAATCACAATCTTCCCATGCCTAGGGGCAAACAGTTTTTGTGAGCTGATGTGACAGGAAAAAAAGAATTCATTACCTAGTGACCAATTTCCTAGTAAGAAGCCTTTCATATTTCCAAGGCTGGTCTCTGGAAAACAGACATCAAGTATGTTGCCAAGCTCAGTAGGACCCTGCCAAAGCTCAGCCTCCTCTGGCATCACCTTTGGGAACCCAGGGTCACCTCCACATCATGGTAAGGCATCAGAACCAGGTTCCAAAGGGTAGTTGGGGGAAGGGTCTATTTCAAAACAAAACATTCCTAATCTGGAGAAGGTTTTACTAAACCGTTTCCCCCAAAGGTATAAAAATAAGTAAAATGAGCATTTTTCCTACTCATTAGGCATATTTTCAGGTACCCTGAACAAATGGCTATCTGTAATGCTCACATTTCGTGTTTTAAGAACAAAAGTTGACTGAAATTACTAAATCTTAAAAACAGCCACTCTTGGGGGAAGAATCAGCTCAATTTTTTCAGCTCTGCTTAGAAAAGCAAATATTCAGCCTCCTGAAAACCCTCTTCACTGTTTGGGTGTGATTAACTCCAGCCTATGTGTTTGGGAGGGGCAGTAATAGCTTCCTTCCCTGGTGCTTCCAAATGGTGAAACTTAAAATGTAGAGCATAACTTCGAAAATTTGTCTCATTCTATTCATTTTCTATCAACTGATCATCATGCTGAATGGGGTTAAGGTAATAAATTAGTGCTAATACACAATTATTTTTAATTATAGGAAATAAACTAAGGCAACATCTATATTTTTCTAATCAGAAAGAATATTCCTAGCATGATCTGAAATCTCTTAAGAAAAGCCACATTGACACTATTTTTTCAATTAATACACTACTACATTTGTGACCCTTTTATTGAAATATTTTAATTAGCCGTTTCTCCCTTAGGGAGATCTTACCTGTACTGCTGTGACCATCTATGTGTGACTTTTAGCTCATCTTGAAAACATCTCAGTTCTTCATTCACACTTTGAAATTTTTTTTGTTGGTTTTCTAATTGTGTGCTTAAGTCTCTAATTCTAAAAATATAAAGAAAAAATATATTCAATGAAAGTTTAGAATATTTAGCAATTAGCATTGTTCATTTGGTTATAATAACTCACATGTCTATGGTGCTTTACACCTCCCACTGAATGTCTCCTCTGGAAGGCCTTCCCCTTAGAAGTCCCCCCCCACCTTCCAAAGGCATCCTGTCTCCAACCTCCATGGCCCACTGAGCCCCAAGGCAGCCCAGCCCATTTGGGGGTGGCTCTCATCGTCCCAATTGGCCTCCATAACTGCCACTCATCACTGCTGCTCTTCCTCTGGTTCCAGATAGAACCAAAGGAATCCCTCTTCTCATAATAGCCATTTAAATGCTGGAAGACCACCTTCACAGTCCCCTCCACACTAAATAGTGTCATAATCAAACAGCAGAATTTCCGATTGGAAAGGGACTTGTCCTCAGCAGCTGCCTGGTCATATTGACAAGTGACCATCTAGCCCAGGAGGGGGGAACCTACCACCTTGAGGCCACATGTGGCCTTCTTGGTCCTTGGGTTTGGACTTTTGACTGAGTTCAAGTTTTACTGAAAAATCCTTTTATTAAGGGGATTTGTTCTATGAAGTCTGGATTCAGTCAAAGGGACTTGAGGACCTAGAGGGCCACATGAGGCCTCAAGGCTGCAGGTTCCCCAACCCCTAAAAGATGTCCAACAAGGATGAACCCAATCTCTCCCTATCCCCGATGCAGCCCCCTCCCCTCAGCATAGCTTTAGCTGTGAGAGCATTTTCCTCACACTGAGCCAGTGTCTGTCCCCCCACAGCTCTTCCTACTGCCCCATGGGGCCAAACAAAATGAATCTAATCCTTCCTGACAAGACAGCTTTTGTAGTACTGGAATACTATTACTACATCCTCCCTGATCTTTCTCTTCCCCTGGGCTAAACATCTTTAATTCCTTCAACCCATTATCATAGGAAATGAGCTGGAGGCTCTTCATTCTGCTTGCCTTTCTCTGAATTCTTTCTAGATTATGGGTGCCCTTTCTAAAATGTGGCATCCAGAACTGAACACAATACTCTAGATGTGGTCTGATAAGAAAATAAGGGAGGATGATCACCTCCCTGTGACTGGAAGCTATGTCTCTCTTGGTGTAGCCCATGATTGCATCAGTTTTTTGGACCCCCATCTCATACTGTTGATTCACAATGAAGCTGTGGTCCATTGAAATTCTTAGGTCCTTTTCAAGAAAACTGCTGGATAGGGATGCCTTCCCCATTTTTTATTGCAAGGTTGATTTTTTTTTTGAACCCATGTAGAAGACTTTACATTTAACCCTAATAAATTAAATTTGATTTGATTTAATTAATTTGAGCCCAGCATCTTGGAGCAGAGGCAGCAAACACAACACCTTCAGACACGTGCAGCCTACACCACTTCCATATGACAACCAATCCAGATCAAAGTGTGGTTCCTGTCTGATTTTTGTGTGTTGATGTATAATAAAAAAGAACCATGTAGAGCTGGGTGGCTTCCAAGCCAATACGCAGCCTGTAGGGATCCTTACCCAGGGTGTGGCCACCCCTGTTTGTATTTGAGTTTGATACCTCTGCTGTCTTGGACTACTGAAGACCTTCAATGGCTCTGGATGCTGTCATGCAGCACAGGAACAGGCAGGGATGGCTGGGATACTCCATGGAGACTTACAGAGTGGTCATCAAGCCAAGAATGACCATTTGGACCAGTTCAAAAGCCATCTAACTGCACTGTCGTGTAAGCTACATTTCTCTCATCTTTACATAGGATCATGGATATGGGTCTCAAAGGGACATCACCTATAGAGCTTAATTCTCTCAATATGCAGGTAAGGAAACTGAGGCTTGGACAAGTAACTTGACCAAGGTCATACAGGCAGTAAGAGTTGACTCTCCAAACCAGCCTCTGGCACCAACTCCAGGACTCTTTCCATCACACCACATTGCCTTTACCACAAGAATATCAGGAAAGACTGTCAAAGGTTTGGAAAAACCTAAGTACACTAGATCTGTGGCAATCCCCCGCACACTAGTAACCTTCTCAAAAGAGGAAATTGGGTTAGTGTGTGAACACTGCTCTTCCAGAAGCCGTGTAGGTGCATCCCTTTCTGGATGTTCAGTAATCAACAATTAATTATCGAATTTTATCAGGAATTGGAATACAATTCACTGTCCTATCATTTCTGGGCTCCATTCTCTCCCCCTCTTTGAAAAGCAGAATGACGTTCTCCCTTCTCCCTGCTGTGGCCTCTTGCCATGATCTAGAACTGCTCAGGGATCATCGGCAGTGCCTCGGCCATCACCCTGGCAGCCAGTTACTCTTTTACTATTTCCCTGCCGATCTTGGCTATTAGTTGGGCTGTACCTCCCAACCCAAGGGCCATGCTCCTTTACAGAGAAAACAAGCAAGAATGGAGCAGCTCTGCCTTTTCTGTGCTGTTCATCGGCATCTTCTCATCCACCCCAGCACTAGTACAAGGCATTCTTTGATCCTCCTTTTTATTCCTCTCAAACACAAAGAACATAGAATCAAAAACTGCCTTCTCTTCCACCTGCAATCACCAAACCATCCAGAGGATCTTCGTTTTCCCTAAAATAGCCCCATCCACAAATCTTCCAGGGCTCCTCTCTCATTTGCCCATTTGCCACGGTGCACTAGGTCCCTTCAGAGTTCTGGGGGCTAGGGTTTTCCAGGACTAGAGGTCATGAACAGTGGCCTTCCCCCATTATCAGCTGATTTCGGTTACCCAATCAAGCTTAATTAGCTTTTCTAAGTAGAGATTTACTAAGGTAGCATGTTGAACAAAAGTCTGGGACAAGCTTCCCCGAAGCCATCTAACAGAGTCCAGGTGCTGGAGACTCAAGCTGAGAGCGCAGGAGCCTGTTACTGAGAGAGCGTATTTATGAACATTACACGTGTGCACACAGACACAAACGTTTTGCATTTGGTTTATCAGTACAATGATAAATACGACAAAGATACCTTACAAATGCAAATGTTTCTCAGCCCATAAATCAAAAATATGTGTGTATTATCAAAGGACCTAATGCCAAGCACTCAGCGAATGTTAACTGATTTATTACTCTCTAATACAATCATCAGGTAATGTCTATGGCACTTTTGTCAAGAAAGCTCCAAACTGGAATCACAAAGAGTCGGACATGTCCGTAATGACTCAGCAGCAACAATAAAAGTTACACACAGCTGTTACAGCAGTACAGACACATAATGAATCAGAGTCACACATAAGACAGTTGCTTTCAAGATTATTACTTAGTAGCACTAGCATGATACAAGTTTATAAGTGATTGAAAAGTAACCAAAAAGAAAATATTTATATTTTTAAAAACCTAATATTTTCGTCTTTTCAGTTCCACAAGTTACAACAATGTGCTTTACAAAGCCCCAAAGGCAAAAAAAATTTTCCTTCTTTCCTCTCCAGGCTCTCTACTATAAAGGGAACTATTTGAAACAAACAAATAGTTACTATTCTATGAGGCAGGTAGGTGCCTATGGAGGCAGCAGATGAATGTGTCTAGGAATTACTGGAAAGGTAACCAGGAGGCTGTAAACTGTGAACAGCACAGTGACAGGATCTGTGTGCTTTGAATACTTCTGATGCAGGCATACAGTGTACATCGCCAAACAGGAACATATAAAAGAGCTGTCATTCCCATGGTACTGTGCTCCACAGCAGTACACCAAACAGTGGGAAGGCACGTGACATGCTCCTCCTTGACCTCTGCCCCTTCAGAATGTTTCCTCTACTAAATTAACATTGGCCCAAAGGGAAAAACTCACATTCCTCAGGCAACATCAGCATCTTACTCTATATTTGCTACCTTTTTTTTGGGGGGGGGGTAGGCAATGGGGTTAAGTGACTTGCCCAGGGTCAGACAGCTAGTAAGTGTTATGTGTCTTAGTCGGATTTGAATTCAGGTCCTCCTGAATCCAGGGCCAGTGCTCTATCCACTGCACCACCTAGCTGCCCCCTAGTTGCTACCTTTTTATAGTGATGGTACAAAAACACATATACTGAAACTTTTGGTTTCTAATCTTATTGTTGTTTCAGTCTCTCTGGATCTCAGTGACCCAGTTTGGGGTTTTCTTGGCAAAGATACTGGGGTGATTTGCCATTTACTTCTCCAGCTCATTTTACAGATGAGAAAACTGAGGCAAACAGGGTAAAGTGATTTGCCCAGAGTTACGTAGCTAGTAAGTATTTGAGACTGGATTTGAACTCAGGTCCCCCTGACTTCAGGGCCATCCACTGCTCTACTTACCTGCTAAAATTCTACTAAAGAATGAAAACTGGAGCTATGATTCAACATCATTATCATCATTAGGAATAATTAATACATTCTCAGCAAAAAGAAGAGAATTGATAGAAATTCTCACAGCACATGACAAAGAGGTTAAAACTTACAGAAATACTTTGGAAAAAAAAAAACCCAACATCATCCCTCCCTCCCCTTGCCGATAATAAAGGCTTTCAATAGGAATAAGCTACTGAGTTTGTAGAATGAAATCAAAAATGACTTGCCTAGGAAAGACAGTGGAACTATAAAGCTCTATGATGGCAACATTGACACGAACTCAACTGACATGAGGTCAATAAAGAAGCATCAAACATACGTCTGAGTCATGCAGATTTGTTTATAGAAATGGGAGGGCTTATTTTATTAACTCAACCTCAGGGTATCACCACCAAAAACCACAGAAGGGCAAAGACACCAGGCTTATTAATGCAGATCATACAAAGAAATGGTTAACACTTGTGCAAAGCATCTCTGTAGGATACAAAGAGTTACGATAAAAAGCATTCATTTTCCCAACTGTACAAGCATTTAGAACATTAAATAGAAAAGAATAATTGTAGGACAGTGACTCATCCCAGGCCCATTCCTACATGAACACCATTGAGGATGAGAAGAAAGAAGTGAATAGCAATATTAATAAAGCATCTTAATATGTAAAATGTTGTGAGGTTTGTAACATAAGT